TAAATTTCTACCCATAGAGTTGTTCAGAATATTCCGTTATTATTCTTTTGGTATTGTTACCAAGTCCAAACTCGTTCTGCTTGCCACACGACAATAAATCGGGAGATGAGGTGCTGGGCAAGGAATAATGACTTTATTCAGAAAGCAGGCAGACTGGACTTTATTCAGAAAGCAGGCAGACTGAGAAGATGGCAGACTAATGTACTAGAGAACCATCTTCCCCAAGTCAGAATTCAGGCTCCTTTTTTACTAAAAAGGGGAGGGGGTGTGGTAGTTGCAAACTTCTTAATGTTGGAATCCTTTGTTCTTGCAGCTGTCCAGATGGGTCAGATCATGGTGTTCCTGTAAACCTCCAACAAGACAAATGTTATTTTTCTATTCTGCAACTGTTTATCTTTATATGAATGGAAAAGTGTTAATATGCTTAAAGGTCAGAGCCTTGAGAATAGGCTATCCTGTATATTTCAGGCTATAGTCAACATTTTTACAAAAGGTGCAGAACCAGCAAAACTAAGCCTAGGAAGCAGAGCACAGGGTTAAAGCCAAAGGAACAGGTCTCATATGGAGTCACATTTACTCTTTTCTATTACAGTTTCTATAAGCAGGGAGCATCAAACTAGAGCCACAAGCCAACTTCAGCCTGCAGCCTGTTTATGCAGTGCCGTTTTAGCATAGCCACTCCTTTGTTTATTGTGGCTCCTTAGCTGCTACAACAGCGTTCAGTGGTTACTATCTGAATCTTTACAGAAAAAGGTTGCTGACCCCTGCTATAGTAATGTTGCCTCTCTAGTTACTAGTTTATGTCTTCTCTCTTTTGTACTTTATCAGCCTAACTAGAGGTTTATCTATTTTATTGAACTTTGCAAAGAACCAGCTTTTGGTTTCATTGGTTTTTTTCTTTGTTTCTTTTCTATTTCATAGTCAGATTTCTGCTCTTTATAATTTTCTTTCTACTTAATTTGTTCTTTTCATTGTTATCTTTTAAATACATTTTAAAATAAGATGAAATATCTATTATATTTACCCATATAGTTACCATTTCTAGGACTCTTCATTCCTTTGTGTAGATAGAAGTTTCCATTTAGTATAGTTTTTTTTTTTCTGAAGAACTTTCTTTAGTATTTCTTGTAGTCCTGTTGCTGAAATTCAGCCTCTGTACCCTGATTACTGAATTGAGACTTGAGGACAGAATTTTGGATGAAGTAGAAAAGGCAGGCAAAGAAGGTAATAGTGGGCTAATGCTTCCAAGACTGAGCCTGCAGGGAAGAGAAGGTAGGGGGTTTTACAATAAAAGTTTTTAAGAGTTCCAGGGGTGGTGCTGGCTTCTATAGAGATCGGTAACAATTTGTTGCAAAGGTTTGTTTTTGCTGATGCAATAGTCCCCTTCCTTCTGCTAAATATGATGTTTACCTTTGGCTTTGGGAACCTCCTAATATTCTTGTGCCTAGATAAAAGGATGCTTAGGAAGGGGGTCTGTGGAAAAGTGCTCTAGAAAAACCTGTGCAGTTTAAAGTCAGGTTGATGTATGCTTCTAGCATTTTGGGAAGGCTGAGGCCTGGGACCTCTTGCTGCAGTGTTTGAACAGGCTGGCACCTGCTCAAACAACAGAATACAAAGAAACTACAAAGGACTAAAAATAACCGCATGTATGTGAGTTATGATCAACAAGATACAAAAAGCAGAAAGCCAACTGCCATTTCAGAGGTGTCTGGAGCAAAAGCAGAGCACTGAGCATGATCCCTGTATGCAGCTCCACTAGGGGGGCCTCCCTCCTCTCCAGCTTAACCTTGGTCCACAAGAGCATGAGAAAAGCCATTTTTAAAACTACTACACAATTAAGCAGTTACAAATACCATATGGTCACCAATGACCGTAGAGTCCTGCTCGGTTACAGTCCTAGGTCCGCTGACAATGAATTCTCTTACCTTCTGTTTGTTTAAAACAACTTTTTTGTTTATTACTGAGGTAACATTGGTTTATAACATGTAAGTTTCATGCACAACATTTTATTTCTACTTCTGTATACACTATAACGTGTTCAGTACCAAAAATTTAGTCTCCATCCATCACGGTAAGATTGACTCCCTTTCCCCATTTCACCACCCTCTGCCCTTCCCCTCTGGTAACCACTGTTTTTAAAACATCTTTCTTTTGCTTTCATTTAAGGATATTCTAACTAGAAAGAATTCTAGGGTCAAATTTTTCTTCTTTCAACACTTTAAAGATGAGTTGTTTCTAATGAGAAGTGTGGAGTAATTCTTTGTGCCTCTTTTCTAAGAGTTTGTTCTTATCACTGGTTTTCAACAATTTGAGAATAAACGGTATAGTTTCCTTTGTGTTTATCCTGGTGAGGTCTGTTGAGCATCTGGGAACTGTGAGTTTATAATTTTCATCACATTTGGAAAATTTTCAGTCCTTACTGCTTCAAATATTTTTTCTCTTCCCCCCACCAAACCTCTCCCCTCTTTCCCTCTCTTCTGGGCTATTTGATATTGTCCCACAGCTTACTTTTTCCTTGTTCTTTTATTTTTAGTTTTTTTTTTCTTCTCATGCTTTAGTTTTTATAGTTTCTGTTTCTGTGTCTTCAAGAACATTCCAGTACATTAGTTTTTTTTCTTCTTTGGTCCCTACTCTTTCATTAATCTCCAGTGAAATTTTTATTTCAGATATTGTGTTTTTAAGCTCCAGGAATTCTATTTGATTCATTTTTATATTTCCCACTTTTCTTCACATTATATTGATTTCCATTAAATCCTTGAGCATATTTGTAACAGCAGTTTCAATGTTCTTGTCTACTATTTTATCACCTCTGTCATTCTGGGTAAGCATTGACTATTTTTCTCCTGGTCACATTTACCTGCTTCTTTGCTTATCTAAGCAATTTTTTACTGAGTGCTTGGTATTGTGAAATTTACATCATTGAATGCTGGATTTTGTTGTCTTCCTTTAAAACGTCGTGTGTGCGTGTGTGTGTGTGGTGTGTAAATCAGCTTGATCTTTTCAAGGTTTTGTTTGTTTGTTTGTTTTTAAGATTTATGTGTGGCTTTTCTCTTCAGCTAGGTTTAGCCCTACTGCTGAAGCATTCCCTTCTGGAATTCAACGAGTTCAACAGGAACTGTCCAAATTAGCTGGTCAAAACCCAGACATCTCCTAACTCTGTATTAACTTTAGGAATTATTCAGTTTACAGCTACCCAGTAGTTCTTTGCCTGGCTACATGGAGTTTCACTCTATTCATTTGCAGCTTAGTATTCAGCAACAGACTTAAGCATCCTCTAAGCATAATTCAGATCTTTCTCTGGGAATTCCCTCCGCTTTATGATAAAGCAAGTATAGTAACATTTTGCTAAATTCACTAAAATATGAATGAGTAATGAGTTTATGGATGTTCACTGTAAAATTTCAGCTTTGCTGTATGTTTGAAAATGTAATATTTCAAAATAATCAGATTATGTAAGTAAATATGATACCACCACAAATACTTTAAAATTTACTTTGTAAAAATATTTGTGAGGATTATACCTCACCATGAAATGGGTTCTAAGTCAGAAATGGCTGGAAAATGCTGGCCATCCCTGTAGCTAGGACAATAGATTGAAAGAACTTCTAGGTTAAAGTGGTCCTTTGCCACATGTTCATAAGCATAATCCTTCAGATTCTCAGACGCTCCATTGCCATGTTTATCTATGAAATTTTCCCGAGTTTTGCAGTCTCTTGATTACTTCTCAAGCACAAGGCACTCATTTCTGGCATGACTCACTATCTGTATGTAACTATTTACATATAGTTCTTTCTCATGTGCAACCAGAGGTTGCAAACTAAAGCCAAAGCCAGCCCGTATTATGGTTTATGGATTCCTGTTTTATTCAATGAGTTATAATCTAGCACTATCATTATATATTTTGATGCTCAAGCTGTCTCAGATTTGCCTAGTGACTTTTGTGTACTTTTTTAAAGTTTTTCATTATTGTAAAATATATGTAACATAAAATTTGCCATCAACACTTAAAATTCAGTGGTTTTAAGTACATTCACACATTATGCAACCATCACCACCATCCATCCACAGAACTATCTTCACCTTGCAAAACTTAAACTGTACATCCATTAAACAGTAATTCCCCATTCTTCCCTCCTTCCAGCCACTAGAAATCACCATTCTACTTTGTCTCTATGAATTTCACTACTCTAGGTACTCATATATAAGTAGAATCAGTGTTTGTCTTTTGGTGACTGGCTTCTTTTTTGTACTCTTGGCACGTCCTGATCGTTCTTTGAGCACTTCCTTCTTTTTGGAACAACAAAATGTTCAGGCTTGTCTTAGTTTCCTCATCTCAGCCCTGGAATCACCCATTTCTCCTAGAAGCCCTGGTTCCTTTTATTAGAAAATGAAGCCCCCTTTGTGGGCTGAGCTAGGGGATGTATGTATTCCCTATATATACACACACTGGCATCTTTATTTACTTACACTAGAATCTATTTAGTTCATACCAGTAACAACACTGCAGGGTTCATTCTGGTTTTTTCCTTTCCCATATTTTAACTCCATTCTCTGTTAGTTCTCATTATCTTCAACATATTCACTTATTTGAGCAATCCCTCCTATGTTTATGTATCCAGTCTCCCATTGCCAGCACCTTCTACCAGGTGCCCTTTTCTCACCCTACTTAAGACTCCAGCATCCCTCCCCTCACAAACCTACACCCTCCTCACTCCCTTTTTCACAATTTTTTTTAAAAAGAAAAGCAGTCTTGTTGGACACTGAGACTAAAAACTGTCAAGACACTTTTAGGATTAAAAGTTCCATATGAACTGAGTATTTAATGATATTAAGCAATTACTGTTAATTTTAAGTATGATAATGGCATCAAGGTAAATTTTTAAATTTTATCACAAAGAGATATATACTTGCTAGGTAATAGGTATATGGGGGTTGATTATTATTCTATCTATTCTTATACTAGAAATTTTTAAATTAAAAAAAAGGGCAAAAGGCAGGACTGATGATTACTGAACTTTATTAAGATGGAATCACTGAAAATTACACAGAAGCTACTTGTCTAAGTCAAAATCCTTGAGGTTCACAAGAACTTAGTTACACAGATAAACAAATGGCAGGTTCAAGATGATAAGGAAATATTCTGATGCCCAGGTAATGAAGGCTGGGGCAAACAAATCTGCACATTTATTTCAAGTTGTTAAAGAGTTTGTGGGCCACCTAGATGGGGGAAAGAAAAGGATATCATCAACCAACAGCTTTAATGTCAGGAATTACAAGGTCCTTCATGACCTGGAACAGAACAGACTCTCTCTCATTACTCCCCTTCTCACACCCCCAACACTCCCCTTGAGCCCTAGTGAACTCACTTCTAACTGTAACTCTTTCCTACTTTATCATCTTTTACTTTTACTTTAAAACACAAGTTTACATGTTATTTCCTGCAAGATTGCTCTAAACAAACCTCCTGTCCCTCCTGTCTTCCCCACAGAAATTGTACCTCCCATATCACAGCACTTACTAATTCAACAAATATGTATAGAATATCTACTATATGCCAGATACTGTTCGAGGTGCTAAGTGAGTCACAATGGTAAAGATGACAATACTTCTGTCTCCTATGGAACTTAGAGAATAATGAGAGAAATATAGACATAAGGTAACTTCTGAGAGTGATAAATGTATGAGGAAAATAATAATGGGGGTGGGAAGGAGAGAACAACAGCTTTAAATAGGAGGGTCAGTAAAGGCTATCCTGAGGTTACACCCAAGAGATTCACCAGTTTACTGTTCTACTTCTGTCTCCTATGCTGACATACAACTCAGTGAACAAAGGGACCATGCCTGTCTCATACAGTTCTTAACTCAGTGCTTGGCTCATAAAGTATTTAAATAACATTTACCATTTTAAACATTTTAAACTATACATTTCTGTGGCATTAAGTAATTTACATTGTCCTGCAACCATCAACCTCTATTAGAGCGTTTTCATTTTCCCAAACCAAAACTCCATACCCATTAAATTTCCTATTTTCCCCTCCCTCCAACCCTGGCAACCATCATTCTTTGTCTTGATGAATTTGACTACTCTAGGTACTTCATATAAATGGAGTATTTGTCCTTTTGTGATTGGCTTATTTCACTAAGCACGTCTTCAAGGTTTATCTAGGTTGTAACGTGTCAGTTTCCTTCCATTTTAAGGCTAAATATATTCCATTTTGTGTATATACCATATTTTAATTATCCATCCACCCACCAGTGAACACTTGGGTTGCACCAACCTTTTGGCTATTGTGAATGTTGCTATGAATTTGAACATGCACACACAAATATGTTCAAGCCCGTGAACAGTCTGTTATTTTGGGTATATACCCAGAAGTGGAACTGCTAGATCATATTGTACTACATTTAATTTTTTGAGTTAAGTACTTATTTCTCTTTATTGCCAAATAATATTCCGTTATCTGGATAAATCACATTTTATTTATCCTTTTAACAGTTTTTGGACATTTTATGTTGTTTCCAATTTTGGTTATTATGATTAATGCTTCTATGGATATTTGTGCACAAGTAGAGATATTTTCATTTCTCCTGGGTACAGAACTAGGAGTAGAATTGCTGGGTCATGTTAACTCAAAGTTTAACATTTGAAGAACTGCCAGACTGTTTTCCATAGGGCTGTACCAATTCACACTCCTATCATTAGTGTATGAGACTTCTAGTTTCTCCACATCATTAACACTTGTTATTTTTTCTTATGATATGGAGAATTTTATATACATATTTTATATATAAACTTTCCCTCTTTCCACTCAAATCATGTTGAAAAAAAGAAGTATGAATAATTGTGTATATACCAGAGGATGGATAAATGAATATACATCAATGGAAAGAAATACAGTGCCTCTTAATAATATTTTATGTATGTGTTTATTATTTAATTTTTGTTTAAAAATCTGATAATGTATACAAAAAAAGTGGTTATCTCTAGGCAGTATGATTTCAGTTGGATTTTTGTTTTCACAAAAAATCCTCAATTGACACAATGTTTAAATAGGCACATATGTATGAATATGTGTGTGTGCATTTGTTTGCACTGTATATTACAGAATAAAACAAAACACCTAAATTGGGATTGTTGAAGCATAAATAATGAAAGTTGACTGAGTGGAAATCATTAACTATTTGGGGGGAAGGGGTGAGAAAAGGTTTTAGTTTTTGACCCCTTCCCCCATTTCTCCCTATCTTTTTGATTACAGACATGTTGTGGTATGAAATGGTATCTCACTGTGGTTTTGATTTGCATTTCTCTGATAGCTAATGGTGTTAAGCATTTTTTCATATGCTTATTAGCCACCCAATCAGTTTTTACACAAGCAAATATCAAACTTTGCCTACCTTATAATTTACTAAAATATCTCTTATATGTAAGAGAGTCAAACACAAGTTTACTTAAAAAAAAAATCTTTTGTACCAACTACTATGTACAAGACACACTGGAGGATATAAATTATTTTAAAGAGTAGCCTTTTGTACTTAAAAATAATTCCATTTCCCCTCAGAATAGCAGTGAAAATTGGGACATCACTTCTCTCTCTGAGCTTCAGTTTCTTATCTGTAAGATGGGGATAATACCTATCTCAGTGAAAGTGGAAGAATTAGGTAAGATTATGTATGTAAAGTGCTCAGCACTGTTGCCCCTAGAATGGAAAGAGGTCAACACCAATTCTTCCCTGGCCACTATAAGCTTCAGGCTGACTTACACAGTGGTCCCTTGCATGCAAGAAGTCAAAGAGCTCCTCTGTGCAATCCTCCTCTGTCTGTGACCTGGAGGATACACGCTCATCACAGAGCTCTAGCCGCTCCCGAGCCTTTACACATTTCTCCAGCTGCTCGCATTGCTCTCTCACTGTTGTCAGGGGATCCTGAAGGAGAAACACAAAAAACCCAAATGGGGGTTTTAGGAAGAGACCCACAAACCATATGCTTTGATTAATACAACCACCAAACCAAGGTGCTGCCTCTGAATTACCGTGCAGAAGGCCAGCTGGCAGAGCCACACTGCCGCCAGAAATAGCAGAATGGGGTCTCCCATTCAATTCTGATGCTAAGTAGTAGGGGAAAGTTTCACATTCCTGCCTTCCAAGGTTGCCAGTATGCACTGAAAGCCTCAGTCCTATCTGCAAAACAAGGTGGTAAAGGAAACCTAGCCAAACTTTAAGTAGATGTCTAAGAGGCCTTACTTGTTAACACAGCATTTTGTTGGGTATGTAATGTCTGTGAATTTCAATTTCCCTCATCTGACAACCAGGCCTATGCACCCCAGCTGTCCAGCTAGAAAGGCAATGTTAACATGGAGAAGGATCATCTAAGGAAAGTTCCTTCTAGAATTCTTTACTAAACCACAAATAGCATATGATTGCATACCAGGCCCTCAGGATGCTACTGTGTTTCCTGATACCCTGACTGAAGAAGCCCCAAGCCCAGAAAAGACAGCTTCCCAGGCCCACACGCCCCAAACACTGAACAGGAAGTATTAAAGGCTTTTTCCACTCACATTCTCTGTAAGGTATCAAGAATCCTTAAAATGCCCTAAGAATTTCATGAAACTCAAACTTTCTTTTACTGAGATGGTTCCAAACCTGAGATAGCTCTTACCACTAATTCCTCCTCTTCTTCTTCCTCCTAGAAAGGAAAACAAAATTAATGTCAGCAGCAATTTTATGACACATATATTCCCAATGATACTTAAGTTGTAATCACTGAGGACAGACATTGTATTAATCACGTTTTAAATTTTTTTATTTTATGTTTCGACATTTTAGAAGCCTTGCTAATCCTGGAGACAACCCCTCTCAGGGCTGGCTAATTTCTAGAGCTGGTAAACAACTTGCCTAAGGACACACCTTTCATATGCAAACCAACCAATCCAAAACCCTTCTCACCAACCACCTTTCTCTAACTCTCCTACACTAAACCAATTATTGCCTCTGCCCTAATCATATCAGGGCTAATTACCAAACAGGGACCACCAGATAGTCCAGAGCCCACCAAAAGCATTCAATCTTAAACCTGCTAGAGCGTGCCTAACCTGCTTCATCCACTCCTTCTTCCTTCTGCTCCTGATTGGTCCAGGCACTTATCCATGTGGCCCTGGGTGGTGCTGCCTTCGCCGTTCTCTTGGGAACTATAAGTAATAAACTCTTCTTTCAAAAACAGTTGTCTCCATGTTTGTAATCTTTCTTACCTACCTGAGTAAAACAACGCCTGGGTATATTTCAACAAAGGCACACAATCTCATGTTCTTTAGCAACAAACCTAAGTGTGCACAACACTCTGAAGTTTACAAAGCACTTCAATATCTGTAATGATTTGATTAAATCATAAAGCCCCTCAAGGGGCTCCCAGTTTAGAAACATTAAACATTTTCTGATACAGATTCAAGCTATCAGAAGTTCATATGGAACATGCATAATTTAAATTATTTTATTCTAAATTCTGGTAGGTCTCAGTATTACCAGAAATAGCTAAATTTAATCCTTACATTCCAAACCAAGTTAGGAAAAAAGCTAACATTGTTTTTCTAGACTCTGAACTTGAACTGAGAATATAACAATGGCCAAACCTGAACTCTATCCAGAGCTTAACTAAAGATAGTTTAGGTCACTGCTTTTTGGCTTGCTGAACTCCTAGGACTCTAAGTAGCCTATCAATATAAGTACACCAAAGGTCCACAACTCCATTCACAAGCTTGAAAGGATGAGGCACTGCCTATTTACTTCTGATTCCAGTGCACAACCACAAGCTTGGTTTCCTTTCTTCCAAGGGGAGCAGTGTAAAAAAATTCTCCTTGGGAGCATCAGCATAGGCCTAAAGCTGGGGCATAGCAGAATCTGATCAGTAGCTCAATCTGTCAAAAGCAAAGCATTTGCCTGCCTGTGCATACACGTGTCCATATTTGGGGGAAGGGAAAGAAAAGGTATATACACAGAAAAAAAAAATAGCTCAGCAACCCCTCGTGTTTTCAAAATTTCAACACCATCTGCCTCATTCTCTAAAACAATCTTCTAAGAAGGGACCAAAGCTCACGAAAGATGGGAGTAAGGGGTAAAGGCAGGTTTACTTTTAACCCAGGCTATTTATTTTTACAATTAGAAAAGGTATCTTCTAAACATGAAGATGCTGTTTAGGATGTTTCTAGTTTTTCATTCAACAAAGTTTCTTAACCTTGCTCTTTAAGGAAATTGATACTGAAAAAAATTCTCCAAAAAACTGAAATCACATTCTACCTGAGTTAGAAACAGAAATTAGTATCCCAGAAGCGAGACCTTTATATTATTTCCCTATTAGCAATGCTATTACACTGATCACTTTACATCTTTGATGATTTTGTGTGGAAAGTATCATGGCATGTTTTGGAAAAACAAATCCAAATACAAGTCTGAATATAAAACTTCCAGTCAATGAGAAAAACCAAGGTCACACTAAAAAAGATTCCATCTCCAAGAGGTGTAAGTTCTTCATGACAAACCTTAGTTTTTCTTAATTTTAAAACTGACTACTTATTTACTTTCTTTTTTCTCCTCTGCTGTGGTGAGCCCTACTGAACTTCCTGGTCTATTTCCAGCAGAACTTCCTGAGACTGGCTCCATTTCTTCCTGATCCTCTTTCTGAAAATAAGACTAGGAAAAATTATGGGATAAACTAGCTTCCAATTATTGTGAACCCGTAAGCCCAGAATAACTGCAAGGAAGTGACCAGAGAATAAAGAATAGATAGGAAACGTGATTGGCAACAAAAAGCCAGCTGACTTCTGTAAAACTGTGTAACGCTGTGGCTAAGTCTTGGCTCTAAAACCATGCTGCCTGGGTTCAATTCCCCGCTCCATGATTTATTAGCTGTGTGTCCTTAGACAAGATATTTAACCTCTCTGTGCCTGTTTCCTCATCAGTAAAAGTGGCAATACTACCAGTACCTAATACTTAACTCACAGACTATTGTGTGGCTTAAATGAATTAGCATGTATAAAGCACTTGGAACAGTGAGCAGCCAACAAATGATTATTATTACATCGCCATTCTCAGTGTGGGAAAGAGCTCCCTCTTTCATCACAGGATTATACTGCACAGTCTCGCATTGTCCCCAGAGACACCTCCCCTACTCGCATCCACAGAAAAAGACGACTTTTTCACAGAAACTAGCATAAGGCCAGATGTCCGGAACTACACAGCGATATGGCAGGGACTCATGACCCAAGCTGAGGCAGCTTGCTCCCCAAACCCGTCAAATCAGAGGCTCTGATTGACTAAAAATATAGACATGTTTTTACAAAAGTTTAGTCCACACAGCATTTTCGCTCTCGCTAAACCTCCACTGCATTCAAAGAATGGGAAGCCGAGGCCCAGAGAAAGCCTAGCCATCTACTTGCCCAAGGTCACTAGACGAACTCTGGGGAAGGGTCAGGGGAACCAGCTCTCCCGACCCAATAGACTCTAGTGGGGAACCAGTACCCACAGAGCCCTGGCGTGTTTTGGCGGGCTAGGTCCTGAGCCTCAGGACAGTGAAGAGTGTCGAGCTGCTCGTCTGGCCTTACCTCATTGGGATCTCCGGACCCGGTCAACATCCTTCGCTCGTCTTCCAGCCCCATGCCCGGCTGCGGTTCTGGTCTCAACACGAGCACCAACAGCGGCACCTATACCACTTCAGGATCAAAAAGGACTTGTAAGGGTCACTCAGCGGATATCCGGCGATCTGGCCGGAAGTGCGGCAGACTCGTCGTAGTCGCGAACACACACTCGGATTGGGATGTACCACCGCCGAGAGGCAGGGGATAGGGGGTAACTGGTATTTTCACCTGGGGAAGACTTGCTAAGGACTATCCCTTTATACACGCCAGACCCTAATATGTTGACCTAGGAGTTTATTTGAAATATTGGCTTCTAAGCAACTTGGGAAGCATACATAAATATTCGATATTCCTTTAGTGCGGTTGCCATCCTTCCCCACATCACTGATAGAACCGTCCTAACTGCTGACCTTTTCAAGATGGCGTCCCGCGAGTGCCACCCTCGGGCTCGCGCACCTCCCCAAGATGGCGGCGCCCGAGGCCTGGCGCGCCCGGAGTTGCTGGTTCTGTGAGGTAGCGGCGGCAACGACCATGGAGGCCACGTCCCGGGAGGCGGCGCCAGCGAAGAGCTCGGCCTCGGGCCCCAACGCTCCCCCCGCCCTGTTCGAGCTGTGCGGGCGGGCGGTGAGCGCCCATATGGGGGTTCTGGAGAGCGGGGTGTGGGGTAAGTCGCGGGGTGAGGGGCTACCTCTGGCAACGAGCGGGGGCGGCCCAGCGGCCGGGGGGCGCGGGGGGCGAGGCCGGGAGGCCCGGGGCAAGGCCCAGCCCCGGGCACTGGAAGCCAGACAGAGGAGTCAGAGCATGAATTCCGTGAGTGACAGGACTGAGCACGGTAAAGACGGAGACCAAACCGGCAGGTGGACCCGCACCGCGGCCCGGCTTGGGGGCGCGGGGGGCGAGGCCAGGAGGCCCGGTCTGGGGTGAAGCAGGCAGGGCCCGGCCGACAGAGGCAGGACTGACGGGCCCGGCCGTGGGCACCGAAGTGACAGTCGGGCTAGACCGGGCTGGGGAGTTATGGATGTCGAATGGACAGCCAGGGATGGCTCTGCTGCTTGGGGGCGGGGGTCGAGGTTGGGAGGCCCGGCCTGAGGCCAGGAGGCCAGGCCTGGGGCCACCTAACCTGATGGACGGCGCGGGGCCTCCGGTGTCTTCCTGACGGAGGTGGGGACCGAGACTCCGGGGGGCGAGAGTAGCCGGTAGACTGGAGAGCGAGGGGATGGGGCTCCGAGAGAGGCCGAAAAGCTCGGGGCTCCGAGGCCTGTCTGACGGCCCGAGGCTGAAGGGAGCGAACTGACGGCCGGGGCCTCGGGTACCAAACTGATTGAGCGAGGGACTGACGGGCAGGGCACTGAGCGCCGGAGGCCGCTCGGATTGGCCGGAGCTGCGAGGAAGGGCCCGAGAGCGGGTAAAGGGAGGCCCGGAGCGAGTCAGCAATCGACGGAGGCTCGAATGACCCACAGGCGGGAAGGGCCACGGAGGCCTCAGGCGGGGTGACTGCCCGGGGATCCCGAATTGGGAGGGGGCGCGGTGCCGCTTGGAGGCCTGGGCACGAGTGGAGTGAAAGGAGGCCTCGGGCCTGAGAGCGGCGCGGACCGCCAGGCCCGGAGTCGGTTGAGGGCGCCCAGGCCGAACACCAGAGGCGGGCGGCCCGGAGCGCTGAGATGAGGGCCGGGGAGGGCAAGCCGACTAGCCCGGCCGGGGTCTGGGAGTACGGCGGCGGGGCGGGCCGAGTAACGGGGAGGGAGGCCTTCAGCGGACGGGTACGAGGAGGCCGGGCCATGGGGTGGTACCGCCGGTGGCAGCCGGGCAGCTGAGGTGGATTTCTGTTCGGCGACGTGGGCATCAATAGTGAGAATGAAAGAGGGGGAAATGAGGGCTGGGATGGGGGTCGGGGGTAGGCCTGCTCGCACAGGGGCCAAGACAGGCCTTGGGCCTGACAGACTGCTGGTGTGAGGGGGTGGGGCCCGGAGGCCTGGGCTGAAGTTGGGTGAGGAGATCGCAGGCCCGGCCAGGGCCCGGGGAAGGGGGAGGGGTGTAGGAGCGGAGGCCCGGGGGCCTTGGGGGTGGGGGGCCTAGAGAAGGCCTCAAGAGTGGTGATGGTGTCTTTGCCAAGAGAAAGGCCCGGGTAAGGTCAGGAGTGAGGGCTGAAGGTCCTGGCATGGGGGTTTTGGGTTACAGCGTGAGGAGGCCGATGTGGAGAAAAGGCCTTGGAGTTTGAGGGGTTGGGCCTCCAGGAATAAGCCCCACGGCTGTGGAGTGGTTAAAAAGGTCCAGGGATATAGGAAGGCCCTTGATGAGGTAGGATGGGGCACCGATTCTGTAAAGGCCCAAGTGTCTTGTGTGGTGAGGGAAGTTCTCAGGCCTGGTGGGGGCAGGGGATTGTGGAAGCCCTGTATCAACAGCTGAGAAGAGCAGGATCAGGCTGACGCATGGGGAATGGGAGAAAAGTCTGAGTGGATCTGGTTTTGTCAGCCTGGAGCTTCTGGGATGCTAAACCTGGCTAGGAGGGAAGAGGACTGGGGTGGAGGCCCCAAGTTAGGAAGGGGAGGCATTAAAGGTGTGGGCTAGAAAGAAGCGAGGAAGAGCCTGGCTTAAGAAGAATGGAGAAAGGAAGAGAGGAGTTTCTGGATAATAAGGGATGAGAACCCCTGTGGCTGTGAGAGGGGATAGCTAACAAAGGGGAACATATTGGAGGGAAAGAGGAGGAAGAGCTCCTATGGGCCTAGCCCAGGTAGACAGTCACACAGAAAAAGCTGAATCAAGTTAGGCCTCTTAGAAGGGCCCAGTAAGAGGCCTCTAAGCAGTGCTATTTTGGAGGAAGGTCTCAGTGTGGGCTAACAGCCAGGAAAGGCTTCCTGGAGGTAGTGGACTAGCATTGCTTTGTGTAAAGAGAAAGGAGGGGAGAGTGAGTAGAGACAGCAGGAAAGGATACAATGAGGAAACTTAAGTAGAATAGGTATGTTATACCGTGAATGCCAGGATATGGAGCTTGGAGTTTATCTTGAGTGCAGTAGAGAGACTACATTAGTATAATAGCATAGGGAATTAATGCTTTTTTTTCCAGCAGGTACATTGAATACTTACTATGGACAAAGAATGTACTGGGTTCTTGGATGTCAAGATTCAGTTATTCCACAAGTAAAGATAAAAGGAGATCCTGGAATGTAAAATTTGAAATTTTGAGAGTTTCCTTAGATGTGATATACTCCAAGATCTTCAGACTTGTTCTTGGCAGGACAGAGATGATATTGACAGGATAAGAAGGATAAGAATAGTAATAGCTAACATTCAGTGAAATTATGGCGAGGCATGGTTTTAAAAGGATTATAAGCATGATCTCCTTTCATTTTCACAGCAATATTATGAGGTAGTTATTATTATCTCCATTTTTAAACTGAGGAAGTTGAGGCTCAAAGATATTAACTTGCCCATGAATTCACAATTAACTAAGTGGTACAATCAATATTTCACCCAGTTTTGTCCAGCTCTAGAGACTAAACCACTTAGCCACAATATGGTAATGCCTCTCATATCTAGGGAAGTCAGCAACAACAGATTTTGTTTTTAAGATATATTCAATTTAGAGTATAGAGCCTAATTATTTCTATTCTTCATAGGAAAGTACTAGTTTAGGATATGGTGGGGGCTGAAAGGATGGAAGTGGCCAATCTGGAAGAGTGGAAAGGGGATTCGGAAAAGGCTTAAAGGACATATGATAAGTGAAAGATGAATAGCTGATACGCTGAAAGTGACAAGGACAGTCCTGGTGGAGAGAACAAAGGCACAGAGGCAGAAAGCAGGGGTTACATGTCAGGTAAATGAAACAAGTAGTTTAGTATGGCTGAAGTGTAAGAGGCACAGTAGGGAGCTGAAGAAGTTAGTATGGCCCAGATTATGAAGGACTTTATCATGCATATTTTGTAGGACCTTTTAAATGTGGAGTGGTTCATTATATGTGGGCAGAAGTGAACTACCAACTCCTACATAAGCCTATCAGCTTGCTCTGTGGGATTATTCACCCTTGAAGATATATGTGTGCCCCTGAAATTCCAGCTGCCAACAAAGTGGATGAAGATAAGTGGACCAGAGTTTGAATTAGACTTAGGTTAGCTTCTCCAGGTTCCATTTGTCAAATGAGAAGTCTGCCTTTCTGTTTTCCTTTCCAATAGGATAAATAATGCTTGCAACCCTGGGAGAAAAAAAGTAAATTTTGTGTTTGGTTTTGTAGCCCTCCCAGGCCCAATACTTCAAAGCATCTTACCTCTGCTCAATATATATTACTTGGAGAGGATTGAGGAAACTGCCCTCAAGAAAGGTGAGTGTCTTTCTGTCTCTTTTTCAGTCAGTGATTGTAAGCCAAGGCACCATGATGTTCTTCAGGTAAATATTACACCTGATACCTGCATAGAACTTCATGTTTTTCAAAAAGTACCCTCCCACTTACTATCCTATCCCTCAGTGTCCTATAAGACACAAAACAAATGTGTAAACCGTATTATACTAATAAAAGTGAGACCACAGGCACATCACAACTAATAGCAAAGCCAGATAGAACCCAGGTCTTTTCAGTTTTGGTTTTCTACTTTATCAAGCTGCCTCCCAAATCCCTCGTTGGACAACTCTATTCACAGCTAACGTTTGTCTTACTAACCTTCATGTTCCAAACACTGTCCTAGGCACTTTACCTGGAGAAACTCACTTAATATTTTCAACAACTCAGTGAAATAGCTACATTTTACTACATTTTATAGATAAGGAAACTGAGGTGCAGGAAAATTAAGTAACTTGCTCAAGGTCACACAGCCAGAGTATGGTTTGCTGATATTTAAACCCAGGCAGTCTGTCTTTAGAGCTGGTGGTCTTTACCACTCTGCGATATTGCTCCTGTGAACCTATAAAAGGACGTTAAAAGGCTAATGCACTTCACTCATTATGACCATGTAGCAGCCAAGTAAATGTGATATTTCTCTCTATAGGCCTCTCCACTCAGGCCATCTGGCGCCGACTATGGGATGAGCTGATGAAGACAAGGCCTTCCAGTTTAGAAGTAAGTTAAGACACCATGTAGAATTCTGGCCTGACCTTGCACAGTGAAATCAGGAATAGCACACAGAGTGGGCACCAGTAAAGTGCAGGGACAGGGATGGAATGAATTTGGGAAGAGGGCTCTGATGGCCTGTTACAAAGTTCTTTCCCATTTGACATTTGTCACTGACTAACTTGTTCACCATGTTTGCAGGTGACACAAAACAGGGAAAGGTAGTGATCACAATGGATGGCAGAACCTAGATTCAGATCTTGACAGGGCTGGAGCAGTGGTCAAACCTAACAAGATGAAATTTAACAGAATAAACCAACTCTTCACCTGAGTCTAAAAAATTCCAATTGCATGACCTCAGAGTAGTGGGTGGAGGGGTCTGGCTTAGCA